CAGCCTCCACCTCTGGTGCTATTTGTGTGTGAGTCTCTGTACAGAACAAACTGGGGGCACCATCATACTTAGCATCTGAGCCAATGGAGACCGTGGAGCCCAGGAGCACTGTCGATCAGCACTGACCTCATGGAAGCTTTAGGCCAAAGTAGACAAAACTCTCCTTTCTCTCTAGGATGTTCCCAGAGCTTCTCAGGTAACCCTACAGTCTGAGCGTCTGAAATCCCTCCGGGAAGCCCAGCGCCTCCAGAGCAGTTCCTGGGATTCTCAGAGCTTCCCAGAGCTTCCTTGGGTCGAGCAGCCGAGCTGTGGGCATCCAGGTGCCAGACCCCGGGCTCCAGGGCCAGCAGTGTGGCCACGGCGACCCTTCCCAGGAATGCCCTGTTGACAGGTCCTGGAGTCTGTCAGGTTGTATCTCTGGGTCTGGGCCAGTCTCGGGGTCACCCGACAAATGTATATCTCATCTCCCAGCGGGGTGCCTCACCGGTTGCTACATTTGTGTCTTTATTTTGCCGGGTAGTATGTGCATGGGTCAGGGCTAAGGCCCCCCAAATGGGTAGGTACCAATATGAGCATAAAGTGTGTTAAAGCATGTATGTGTGAAAGAGAGGCTGGAGGTGTATAGCTGTGTGTCCACGTGTGTGTGTGTGTATGTGTGTGCGGGCACACTCTTCTGGGGGCTCTCTGCACAGCTGTGGCTCCTGGCCACCTTGGCACTCCTCCTGTGCTACTCTCAGGCAATGTTCCAAGGTGATCTGGGCCCTGCCTTGCACAGGGAGGCAGCTTAGTTCTTTGTGGGCTCGATTTGGTTCCTACAGGAAACAGCCCCTCCCGCTTTCCTGGTACTCCCATTGATCTCTGCTCCTCTCTCTGGCTCTGCTCCAGCCATGGGGACTGTCCCCCCAGCCCCCGCCCCCACACACATTGGAGGGAGCTGGCAGACATGTGGTTTCGGGGCAGTTTTTGAGGGTGCCCAAAGGGTCCTCCGAGCACGAATTTCGGCATCTCATCCCCCTATCTCCTGTGGACCCGAGCCTCTCCTCCCACCGGGGGTGGGCACAACTCCTGGGTGAGAGCCCTCTGCTCCCCAGTCATTCTGATTGGTTCACAGTGGGGACTGGCATCACTCTCTGAGCCGCCTCCAACCCCCCTGTCTGGGTCTCTGGAGATTTCACTCGGAGCCTCCACATCACCCTGCAAAGCTGGGGGAACTGGGAACCAGGGCCCGCTAAAACCTGGGACTGCTTTGGAGTCTGATGACTACTCGGCCGCTGGTGGGCTCCTGGGAGAGAGGTAGCTGTTCAGGAGGCAGACATGGGAGATGGGGTCTGCAGCCTGGCAGGGAGAGCAGCGCTTGGCTCGGCTCCAAGGGTGTGATGCCAAGTCCCCGCCTCTGCAGGGGCTCACACTGCCTCATGCCGGCCTCGGCGTCTGTGGCCAGCTCTGCCAGGCTGTGGCCACCCTCGGGACCGCTCTCTGGCGCGTCGGGCTTAGGCAGGGTGCCTCTGAGCGAGGACTCTGTGGCGATGAAGAGAACAATCAGAAAGCTCTATGACCTCAGAGAAATTGCTTCAGTACCTCTGTGACTTTGTTTTTTAATCTGTAAAATGGGGATAATGATAGGCTTATGGTAAGAATGAAATGAGTTACTGTGTGTGAAGCATTTGGAAGAGTATGGGCAAGTCGGAAGCACTTAGTAATTGTTATTATGAGACTATCCCAAAGGTCAATCTGGCCTCTTCCCAAGGTCTGCCGGGGGTGGGGTGGTGCTGGGGTGGGATGGGAGTTGTCTTTTGTGGTGTCTAGGCTTGGAAGAAGGGAGGGGCCATGTCTTTCACACCTGGAAAGGATTCACAGGGTCCTGGCATTATTAAGTGCATTCAGGACACCTGGGGGACCCAGGCCAGGGCCGCCTGCCTCCCTGTCAAGGCGGGTGAGAGCTGTCAGCATAGCAAGAACCTGCTCTCCAAGGACAGAACCTGCCTCTCCCTGCTTGCCTTTCATCTTTGAAGTCTTTTCTTAAAGGTCAATAGAACAGAGAGACCCCTCTAGAATTTGTCTCTGGTGATAAGGCTGGCCGACATAGGCTCTAAAAATAAACCTTAATAAGATTTTAGGTAAACACTTTCCACAATAATTCAGATCACGATTCTTTTCTCATTCCTAGAGCAGTGTGACCTATAGTGGGCCCTATTCCCGCAGAGGAAATGTCAAAGGCTTCCAGAGTGCCAGGTTGAATTTGGATAAGGCACCACTCTGCTCTGGGGCCCAGCCTTGCCAGAAGAACCCGCAGTCTTAATGTGAGAGGCCCCCCTCCAGTCCCATCCATCACAGTATCCCACACTCCTGCCCCCTTCCCCGCTGCCCCTACTGGGCCCAGTGAACAACCTGAGCTCTTCGGGGTGTTTCTGTACCCAGAGGCAGGTGGGGACGGTGTCTTTGCTTTGTTACTGTTCTCTTTTTCCCCCAACATGTGGCTCTCAGAGGTGGTGTCTGGGGACTGCGAGTCTGTCCAGTTTACCGGGACTGGGGGCCAGCCCAGACTGGGCCCACAGGGCAGTGCCGGAGGCGTGGAATGCCCAGGAGCCGGACTCAGGCTGCGGGTCTCAGCAGCATAGCAGGCTGACCGGGACCTGCCAGCCGGGGCATGCTGCTGAGTTGTCTTCCGAGCTCCTTCTCACTGCAAAGCGAGAATAGGTCAGCGGGGCGCTGGGATCGCTGTCAGTGGCACCGGCCGTCCCCTGGGGTGGTCCAGACCGGGTGGCTATAGGAGGTGGGGAGAGGAGAAGGTAGCGGGCGGGGTGAAAGGGCGGGGGAGGAGTTGCGGGTAGAGGGAGTAGAGAAAGGAAAGAGGAGGAAGAGCCAGGAGACCGACTACAAAGGCCGCTCCCGCACTGGCGCCCCCTGCGCTCCCTGTCCCCCCAGCACGCGGTGGCCGGTGGGGCCCGCTGTCCCCGGCTCGGGCACCCGGAGAAGAAGTGCAAGGGCGACGGGAGGGGCTGGGGCAGGAAAAAGCGGGTGTGGCCGGAGCACAGCGCAGGGAGGACCCCGCGACGGGGCGAGGGGCGGGGCCTGGTTTGAGCGACGCCCTGGGGGCGGAGGGGGCGGGGCGAGGGGCGGGGCGGAGGGCGCGCACCGCTCCCACCTGCGCCGCAGCCTCCAGCCGCCGGCGCCCCCGCGCCCCCCCGCCCCCGCCGGCGCCCCCCACCCCCACCGCGGCGGAGTTGACTCCTACCACTTACTGGTATTTTCTCCCTGCGTGCAGTGGGACGGTGGAATGTTTTCACCCTTTCCTTCCTGGAGCTGGGCTTGCGGCCGACTGTCTCCGCTAGAATGAAATAGTATTGTTCTCTCGCCTCTGCCTTGGGTTTGGGATTTGAGGATGGAGAAGATGCATTCTCTCATAATTAATTAATGTAGGTGGCTGTCACTGTGTGGTCCCAGCTGGCCCCAGGCAGAGTAGAGCCCGGGAAATCTGGCCCGAGGGAAGGGCAATAATAACCACAACCTAGAGGGCCGCGTCCTTGGCCCACGGCTAAGTGGTGGACGCAGCCCTCACTGGCCAGTCCTCTCTTAGGCTCCCAGCGAGCCACCAACCACCTACTAAGCACTTGTGACGTCGCTCCGCTTCACCCCCAGAGGCACCCCCAAATTAGCTGGTATTAGCCCCATTTTACAATTCAAAGAGGTTAAGTAACTTGCCTCCTGTCACAGCCCCCAGCAGGAAAAGCTCACATAGGAACCCTGATCTCAGAGTCTCTGACTTTGCAATGTTTTCCTGTGCACCAGGCAGCCCCTCCTGATTCTTTTGCGTTCCAACATTACCAGTTTCCTCCTCACACTCTCTCTCTCTCTCTCGCTCTATCCCATCTCCAACCCTGCCTCATGCCTTCCCTACTTCACTTCTCCATTATAATGTGTTCTATGAGAAGGATCTGAGACTCCTTCATGCTGAGGTTTCAGTGACTGATACAGCCTGAAGTGTTTTCCTTCTCCTCCCTCCCCAAGATTTGCCTTTTAATTAAAGTAGAATCCAAGCCTCAAGTTCAAGGACAGGTTCTTAAGGGAACTGATCTAAGTGACAGCCAGAAATGTGGGGCGGTATTGTGAGGACAGCTAGCTCTGCAGGTTCCTGTGCAGAACATAGGCAAGCCTCATTCCATCTGCGGGCACGGCTTTAGGAGGTGGGTCTGGGAAAGATGAGTGACCGAACCTTGTTGAGAACCTACTGCCTGCCTAGCATGTTCTGCCACGCACTTCAAAATGTTACCCCGTGATTCCTCATGGCTACCCAAGAGGTGGTTTGCTCCTCTCCCCATCTCATAGACAAGGAAACCCGGGTCTCCAAGAGGAAATAACTTGCCCAAGAAAGTAAGCTGCAAGTAAACTGCATTGGATTTCAAACCCATTCATTCATTAAGTGTATTTCTGTTATTTTGCTGTGTGCAGGGATATGGAGAAGAGATATAATCCTTCTTCTCTCACTGCTCCTGTTCCAAAGCAGGCAAACAGACATGAAGGAATCAGTACAATAAGGTGGTGTATGATAGTCTGGTAGTCACCCTATGGGGCGCTGTGGGTGGGTCATAAACACTAAATAGGAGGTCAGTCCGACCTAGGGGCACGTGGTAGGGAAGTGGAAGGGAGTCAGGGAAAAAAAGAAAATCTTGAAAGAGACCTACAGAGCCAGGCCTTTTTCTTCCCTCTCCCTGGTGTGGCCCTCCAGAAGCTCTGTGGCGTGGGGGAGGGGCGCACTGAGGCCTCAAAGGGCTCCTCTTTAAATGTCTCTTGACTCCCCTGCTCTGGGCCACCTGACTTCACTGTGGCAATCTGAGGATTATTAGATCACTATGAAGTGCCTTGTATTTCTGGTGGATTTGGGCAGCCTAAATGTACAGGAATCATCATTTTTTTTTTCTTTCCCAGTTCAACAGAAGATGATTTTAAAATATGCTTGACTTGAAGAACAAGGATTTTGAAAAAAAATGTGGGAGCTGGAGGTAAAAATGGAAAATAGATGAAACCCAAAGTATTTCCAAGGTGTCTTTCTCTGTGTTTCTGTTTTGCAGGTTTTAAAAGCAGAATTAAAGTGTCAAGCAGAGGGAAATTTCTCTGATGCAGCATTTACATAAGAAACACGTTCAGAAAAAGAGGCTGTGATTCTGAAGGTGTCCTTATTATACTGCACTAAAAATCTCCCTTGGGATCGGAGGAGGTTTAAATTAGTCTGGGAGAGGAGAAAATCATATCCCCCTTTTCAAATGGCAGATCTCTCCCCAAACTGAAAAATTTCCCGAAGGAAATGGCCATACTGTGTTCAGGAGCAGACAAAGCCCTCTTTGTGTAAGGGCTCCACCTTCTTGAGCCCTCAGTGCAATTCCCTGGCTCCTCCTAGGTCTGTTTAACAAGTCCTGACATTGCACTTAGTGCTTCATCATGGGCCTCGAGCACAGCTCTCAAGGAGACCCTTGTTAGCAGTTGTGCATTTTGCTCTAGAAATGCATCCGCAGGCCATTTAGTTGACTCGGGAAATCAAAGTCAGTGGGAATAGCACAAAATGTCATGCACTTTTACAAGCCCACCTTATGTATGTATGTATGTATGTATGTATGTATGTATGTGTATCTATTTTCTCCAAAATTTATCAAATATTTGCTTGCTAAACTGCATAGAATTTCACATACAAGAGTAACGCTATGTACGCAATGTTCTGGTTACCTATTGCTGAATAACAAACTCCCCTAAGCTTGGTGACCTAAACAGCACCCATTTTATTATGTATTGTGATTTTGTAGATCAGGACTGGGGCGGGGCTCAGCTGGGTGATTCTCCTGCTCCAGGTGGCATCAACTGGGATCGCTCGGTGGCCGTCAGCTAGTGGTGAGGCTGATCTAGAGGGTCCAAAACAACTGTACTCACATACCTGGCACCTTGGCAGGGATGGCTATAGGGCTGGACTTGAGGGGCACGTAGACAGATGGCCCTTCCACATGGTCTCTCCAGCAGGATGGCCGGACTTCCTACATAACGGCTCAGGTGTCCGACCCCAAGTGTGCATAAAGCCAAGATGGACAAGACCTAGTTGGATTTCAAACCCATTCATTCATTAAGTGTATTTCTGTTATTTTGCTGTGTGCAGGGATATGGAGAAGAGATATAATCCTTCTTCTCTCACTGCTCCTGTTCCAAAGCAGGCAAATAGATATGAAGGAATCAGTACAATAAGGTGGTGTATGATAGTCTGGTAGTCACCCTATGGGGCGCTGTGGGTGGGTCATAAACACTAAATAGGAGGTCAGTCCGACCTAGGGGCACGTGGTAGGGAAGTGGATCTCCTTTGGAGCCCCGGTGTTCTAAATTGCTTCCTCACCCTCTTTCCCCTTACTTCACCTCCACCCTGCCTCGGACACCCATTTACTGTGCCCAGGACTCATCGGTGTCATTGCTACTGCAGTGAGGTCATGGTGTGGCCCAGAAACACAGGGAGAGGAAATAGACCCCACCTATCCATGGGAAGAGGATCAAAGAACTTGTATCCATCTCTGGTCCAATGGCCAACGACAGCTAGTACCGCCAGACTGTTTTCCGGGAATAAGAGTAGACTACGTGGAACCATCAAATCCGAGATTTGGAAGGTACCTTAAAGATCATCTAGTTCAGCCTCCTAATTTTACAGATAAGTGAGGCTAGGAGATACCTAACAACCTGGGTCACAAGCCCTGATTGCAAAGGCAAGCCTCAACTGCAGGTGTTCTGATCCCAGATTCAAGAAGAGATTTACTGCGTGTCTGCTAGGTTCAAGTGCAGCACTTCTACTGCCAGAAGAGGGGCAAAGTTCAGGGTTATGCAGTTCTGGGTGTCCAAGAGTTCATAACTCAGCAGAGGGGAGGAGTCAAGAAAGGTAGGTAGCATAAGAAAAACAAGATTTGCAAATAATGTGCCCTGAACATCTACAGAAGGATAAATCTCATCTGGCAAGCAGGTTTAGGAAGGGATTTCTGAAGACCTGGATTGATGTGGGCCTTTAAGGATGGGTGAAACTTTTGACTGATGGTAGGATAGCCCCAGGATGTCCCAGCCAGAGCACATCATGAGCAAAAGGAGCCAGAATAGCCAGGGATGAGGGTGAGTGTTGCATCATCCCCCACTCTGACCCACCCTGGAGAACCGGATGCGCACTGTTCACAGAGACATCCAGCCCTGCAACCAGCGTGTGGTGGTTTGCTCAGATGCTTGACAGCTAACTCTCCTACTTAAGCAGGATTCGCTCTCTGCTCTAGGCCAGCTGTTCTCAATGCTGACTGCACACGAGCATCTCTGCAGATGCCTTTAGAATATCCCGATGCCTGGGTCCTACCCCAGAATGAAAAAGTTAGATTCTCTGGGAGGGGACCCAGGTCTTGATTTTTTCTTTTTTTATCTCCCCAGGTGATTTTATTTTATTTTTAAGATTTTAAATCCCTCTCCCGCTCCTCCTGCTTGTGTTTCCTCTCTGTCTCTGTCTCTCTGTTGAAAAATAAATAAAATCTTTAAAAAGAAAGATTTTATTTGTTTGTCAGAGAAAGAGCACAAGCAGGGGGAGCGGCAGGCAGAGGGAGAAGCAGACTTCTTGCTGAGCAAGGAGCCCAATGTGGGACTTGATCCCAGGAGCCTGGGATCATGACCTGAGCCAAAGGCAGATGCTTAACTGACTGAATCACCCAGGTGTCCCACCCCAGGTGACTTTAATGTGCTGGAGCCGTGTTCCCCAAACGCTAGTGAGCATCAGAATCACATGGAGGGCTTATCAAAATACAGATTACTGGGTTCTGCCCCCAGAGTTTCTGATTTAGTAACCTGAAAACCAGAAACTCTGGGAAGGGGGCCCAAGAATTAGCATCTCTAACATGTTCCCACGTGACGCTCATGTCGCTAGTCCCTGGATCACACTCTGAGAACCACTGCTCCAGACAACTGATCTACCCAGTTACACATAGAATCTGCCCCTTCAGAAATGCTATCATTGAAGAGAGAACTCAGGGGGCGCCTGGGTGGCTCAGTCGGTTGAGAGTCTGCCTTCAGTTCAGGTCATGATCCCGGGGTCCTGGGATCGAGCCCCGCATCAGGCTCCCTTCTCAGTGGGGAGTCTACTTCTCCCTCTCCCTCTGCTCCTCCCCAATGCTCGTGTGCTCTCTTTCTGTCTCTCTCTCCCTCAAATAAATAAATAAATAAATCTTAAAAAGAAAAGAACAGAGAACTCAAGTTGCAGACTGTGTAGCCTAAAGCCCTGCGGTGCCAAGTGTGGTCCGTCCCTAGGCCGGCACTGGCAGCCCCTGGGAGCTTGTTAGAAAACGTAGACTCTCAAGCCACAGCCCAGACTCTGGCAATCAGAATCTTTTAACAAGATTGCCCAGCTGATTTGAAGACACAGTAGTTTGACAAACTCTGCTCTTGAGCTAAGTTCTGAGCATAACTGCTCATGGACACCTGAATCTTGAGCCTATCACAAGATGAGCAGAGCTCTTCAGGCACGGCTGCTGTAATGACTTAGCTGAGGTGGGGCAGGGGCACGTGGGTAGCACAGGAATCACCGAGCTTTTTAATACAAGAATGATGAATTGGAAAATAGCAGCCAGATAACAAAATTCAACAGGTCTTGGGTAGATGTTTGCTTTGTTCTGTAGACTTTCGCAGGTTACTAAGCATTTTTACCATTGGGTGGTTCTACATCTATTAAAAAAATGTTGAAATAGCCAACTCAAGCACAAGGGTAACTCTAATCACTTAACTATCACGAGTGCCCATTACTTTAAATTTCGTTCCTTCACTCCTACCAGTGGGTGGCCTCAGGCCATTTGCACGGCATTTGGCCCCGTTCCAGACCGGGATGAAGTTGCTGCTTTGAATTCAGGTATTGCTTACCTCTTTCGCACTGCTCTGATACTCAACTGCCTCTCAGTTTCTTGCCTCGGGGGTTTTTCTTCCTCTTCACCATGTAGAGAGTAAGGACCCATTCAGTAAAATCCATTTCTCCCAGTGGGTTTGGAATTCACCTTATTATCAGGTGACTTGCTCTAAACCAGCTACACCTATGCATTGGCATTGGCAAGATAATGAAAGTCTTCTTAACCAATTCCAGTGTTCCAGACCTCTTGCCTTATCTTTTTATCTGATTAGTTCAGTTTAATCCTACTCAATGGAGGGGTGAAGCGGGGTTCAGGCTGCCACCCTGCCTCATTTCCAGTTGGGTCTCTCCGTCTCCTTTTGCCAATCTCATGATCTGTTGGATTGTTCCAAAACCTGAAATGTGGTCTTTCATAGAAGAGAAAATCACCTGGGAAGGTCACTTCAGGTCTACTTAGTAGGGTGGGCATGTATTAAATGCCACACTAGCAAGGCTTCAAGCAAGACAGCACCTCATGGAAATCCTTGCTGTTTGCACAGGATGCTGTATTTTTCTATTTTATGTTTTATTTTTTCATATTTATTTATTTATTTATTTAAAATTATTTATTTGACAGAGCGACACAGCGAGAGAGGGAACACAAGCAGGGGGAGTGGGAGAGGGAGAAGCAGCCCTCCCGCTGAGCAGGGAGCCCGATGCGGGGCTCGATCCCAGGACCCTGGGATCATGACCTGAGCCGAAGCCAGATGCCCAACGACCGAGCCACCCAGGCGTCCCTATTTATTCATTTTTAAATGTATTTATTTTTTTGTATTTGTATTTTTCTATTTTTAACAAAAAACCTCACCATTGTCTGGGGATGAGAGTAAAGTTTGGGCTCACTCATATGAAAGAAGAAAGTTACATTAATGCCAATAAAAGGATGAGGTCTCCTGATAGAATAATCAATTTTCTTGTCAAGGTACAGGAGGTTGTACTACGACTAGACACAGTTACCCAAATGATTCTAGTCTGGCTGATCAAGTTCTTTTAACTGAGTATGTTATCTTGCGGCAGGAAAGGAGAGGGTGAACTATGCTGGGTAGGTTTCTTTGTTGTGCCTACAGGTGTGACCAGCTTTGAAAAGAACAATGTATAAAATGAGTGGTTGTGAATTTGATCCATCAGGGAAGAATTATCTGCATTGCAAAAAGAATTTGCCACAAGGAATATGAAGGGCCTAGGACTTGGAGGATCTGAGAGATGGAGCTCCTTTGAAGGAAGCTGGCTGGCTGGGTCTCTCAGGATGACAGTACCCACAGGGTATACTGTACAGAGTCTGTTTCTTCGCCTTGCAGATCCAGAATGTCAGTCTGGAAATAGAGTTGACAGGACTTTGTGGGACTGACTACCGCTAAACTAACTCATAAGAGCCCAAAGTATAACTTAGTTGCCGATTTGTCGGCTTGCTGTGGGATCTCCCCTTTCCATTAATTAATTCATCAAATTTTATTGAGTGCTTGTTATAGGTTCAAATTCCCTGCCCTCATGCTGCATACATTCTAGGGCGAGAGATATATGATAAACACATATACAGTATGTCAGATGGTAATATGTGCTACAAGAACATTAAAGTAGTTTAAGTGGAAGAGAAAGTGTTGGGGTAGAAGCGAGTGTAGGGGTTTGTTCCTATTTCATTTAGGGATGTTAGGGAAAGCCTTTTCTGAGCAGGAGACATTTGAGCAGAAGGCTGAAGCAACTAGACCCTGAGATTTCGGGAGGAGGGGTACCCCTCGCAGAGTCACAGCAAGTGTAAAGGTGAGCGTGTACTTGATGTGTTCAGGGAACTGCCAGGAGGCCTGAGGACCTGCTGAGAAGCGGAGGGGGTGGGGCACGGGGTGGGGGGATGGTGACATCAGAGAAGTATCCAGGCCCAGATCCCTTGCAGGCCTTTGCAAGGATTTTGCTTTGCTCAAAGTGAGATTTTGAGCTGAAGGGTGACATAATCTGATTTACATTTTAATGGCATCACTCTGGCTGGCTATGTTGAAAATAGATGGGGGGCGGGGTGGGGAGGAGGCAAGGGAGGAAGTGAGGAGACTAGTTAAGATGCTTTTGTAACAGTGGAGGCAGGAAATGAGAATGGCTTGGACCAGAGTCCATGGCAGCAGAGGCTGTGATCAGGACTCAGATCCTGGATACATTTTGAAGTAAGCCTGCTGGTATTTGCTGACGGTTTGCTTGTGGTGTGTGAGCGCAAAGAGCAGAAGCAAGGATGACTCCAAGCTTTTGGCGTGAGGAACCGGGGAGCAAAATCTCCATTTGCTGTGAGCAGGAAGAAAAGCCTAGTGCATGTGCGTGCTGTGTTGCTGGGGAAGAAGCAACAGCCCAGTTTGGGAGATGTTAATTTTGATGTACCCGTTATATATCTGGAGCTGCATGCCATGGGATGCATGTATCTGGAATTCAGTGGAGAGATCCAGGCTGGAGATAGAAATCTGGGAGTCACAGCTTGTAGGTAGCATTTCAAATCCTGACACGAGCTGAAACTCCGCAAGTGACAGTGTGCATGGAGGCCTGAGCTCTAGAACTCCCCAACCGATAGAGGTCAGCGGAATGAAGAGCACTCTGCCAAAGAGACTGATAAGGGACAGCCAGAGAGGAGGGAGGGGATCCAAGTGAGATCGGTGGCCAGAAGCCAAGGGAGGGTGTTCCGAGGGCGGAGTGACAAGCTGTGTCAGATGCCGCTAACAAGCTGAGTAACATGGAAACAGACATCACTCCCGGAATCAGGAACCCGGAAGTCATGGCTAACCTTGACAGGAGCAGTTTCAGTGGAGAGGTGGCAACCAACCAACTTTGGGTTGGAGGGGGTTCAAGAGAGAAGGAAAGACAGGAAGTAAGGGGGGCAGGTAGAGAGATTCAAGAGTTCTGCTGTAAAGGGAAATAGAACCGAGTTCATGGCTGAGGAGGGATTGGGGTCAAGGGAGATTTTGTGGGTTTTGTTTTGTTTTTTGTTTTGCTTTAGGATAGAAAATATCAGGGGCGCCTGGGTGTCTCAGTCGTTAAGCGTCTGCCTTCAGCTCAGGTCATGATCTCAGGGTCCTGGGATCGAGTCTTGCATCGGGCTCCCTGCTCAGGCGGGAGCCTGCTTCTCCCTCTTCCTCTGCCTGCTGCTCCCCCTGCTTGTGCTCTCTCTCTCTGTCAAATAAATAAATAAAATCTTTTTAAAAAAAAAAAGGAAGAAAAGAAAATATCAGAGGAAGTTAGCTGATGAGGGGCACGTTTTTTGGAATGTCCCTGGCTGGGTGAGAGAAGATAAGGCCCAAAGCACAGATACAGGATCGGCCTTAAATCGGAGTAGGGCAGTTCGTCCGTAGCAGCAGAAGGGAAACTAAAGGGTATGATGTGAACTGTGGTGGTGGGAGCGGATTGTCTTCTGTTCTCACTGAAGTAGGTGACAGAATGTCAGTTGAGATTGAGGAGCAAGTGGGGCGGGGTGTGCCATGTCTGAGAAGAAAGAAGAGGCCAAGGGTGCTGTCTAGAACAGTAAGATAGTCCATGATCTGGAGCAGGGGGGCCCAGAGTGTGATCCCCGGCAGGACGCACAATATCAGGGTCATCTGAGAACTCGCCAGAGATGCACATTCTCAGGCCCCACCCCAGCCCTCCTGGGTCAGGAACTCTGGTGCCATGTCAGGCAGGCTGTGTGCTCTGACAAGCCCCTGGGGGACTCTGATGCACACTTGCGTCTGAGAAGCACTGGTGTAGGAATAAATAATATCGCGTGTTGCCAGGCAGTGGTGAGAGCCTTCTTGAGGTTAGCGGTCGTGAATTGAGAGTGAAGCCAGTCAGCCCGACTCATCGGAGCCCAGGCCGATAATGCATTCCTCCTCCCGCGACCCCACTAGGAATGGACATAGCGCCAGTTCTCGCTAATGCGGCAGGCGGAAAAGTCTGCGGGGAAGGGCTTCTAGCAAAGACTCCCTCAGTCTTAAAAATGAACTCAAGGAAGACACAATCTCTTCTTGCTTTAGGGTTTCATGGTGTGAGGATGTGGCCGCTGTCTTCTGACCCAGGAAAACAGCCCAAGGACGGTGCGAGGATGTGGCCGCTGTCTTCTGACCAGGAAAACAGCCCGAGGACAAGGCCAAGAGGTGAGGAGGGCAGAGTGGAAGGAAAGGAACCAGATTGCTGACGATGCTCTTCAGCTTCGGATGAACCCAGAGACCCCCCTCCTCTGGACTGACTTACTGATATAGAGGGTACCAGCCTCATGTTCCATCTCCCCATCCTTATCTGTAAAAATAAGAAAACTGGTTGTAATAGCCACCTCCTGTGACGGTTCTAGAGAGTAAGGGAAGATCACGCTTTTGAAAGTAGCTTCTACCGTTATAAGACACTACACAAATGTCAAGTACAAATGCAATTTCCATTAGTGCACTTGTATTTTGGTTGGAATTAGGCACATCTGGTTCATATACACTTTTCTACAGAGAGAGTGACGGTGACCGTGAAGGCTTTTGGGGCTTTGTCAGAGCGCTCCCACCTCAAGCAGTCTGTCCTAGTGGGGATGCTTTGTCTCAGGATACCAGCCAGCCTCAGACCTCACAGACAGAGGTTCCTTCACTTGCCGCCGCGCACCAGGGTCCTCTGCAGCTTAGCCGGACAGAACGGGCCCGGAGAGCAGGTGCAGAAGAGCGAATTCCACAGCCCAGAGCACTGCAGCTCCTCACCCCGTGGCCATCCCTCACCTGTTTTGAAATCCTATAGCCCATTTCAAGTCTCCCCCTAAGATTACAAATTTCATTCCGAGTGCCCCCCTCCTAAACAAGCAAAAGCACCCCTTTGCCATAGCAAATCTTCCTTCCTGGATGAAGCCTGCACACTCTCTTCACCCTCCATATTGCTCCCGATTTGGAGTTCATTTCCCCAGTGGGTCCCTTCACGTGACCTACCCTTCTTCTCCCTTCTTCTTGCCAGTCAGTGCCTGTGGGGCCTTTCCCTTAACCATCACATGTCCCTGCGAGTCCACAGGAAGAGGAGTCTCTTTTACTTCCTTAGTTACCCTTAAGCCTCACTTTCAAAGCTCAAGTTAGCCCTACCCGTTACCTTTGGGCGCAGCTCCTAGATCCTACTGGATAAGCGCCATGTGTGCGCTGAGCACTGAAAGGAGCAGAACCCCTTGGCCTGTATAACTTTTAAGGGTAGACTTTCTCACACTTGGCTGAGGGCGCCGCTAGTTCTGCAGCGAACCGGTCGACACCGAGACTGCTGGCGTCTTGAACACTATTTTATTATTCACTACTCTGTTACTGCTCCGTGCTTGGTGCTGACTGTTGCTGGTGCCGGCTCTGCCCCCTGTGAGGAGCCTCTGACCAAAGGTGGCATCAGGAGTGACTTGGGGAGTCTACCTGGGGAAAGAGACATTTTACATCTGTGTGAGGCAGGGAGAGCAGTAAGAGGGAGAGACCGGATTGCACGCAGGACCCACAATAAAATCGTAATAGTGAAACAATAAAACAGTCCACTAAAGGAACAGGGGACAGGGCAATACACAGAGGGTGGGTGACCCATGGACTGTTGGAGAGCTGGCACGAGGGACTTGGACTATCATGACTAGATCTCCCCACACCTGTTTGCAGAGAGCCAGTCAGAATAGGCTGAGGCAGGGCAGCACCTGGGTGTGAGAGCCAGCCTATACCCCAAAGCACTCACAGGGACCACTGGATATGCCTCAAGGGACCAGCTCACTCTCCTGCAAAATGGTGCCCTCACTGAAATCATGAATGGCTAGGACCCATTATAGGGGCCACATGACTTCAAACTGGAATCTCTTTGCAAACCCGAGGTCCCAGAATGGATCTGGCATCTCTAGGAACACAGAGGACTAGGTGCTTAACCTGTGTGCCCTTCTACTAGACCTTAGACTTCACAAGAACAGAGCTGTACTTTATTCATCAGAGATGAGCCCCGAGCTTGGCAAGAGTCTGTTTACCTTGAAAGTTTGTTGAACTAAAGGCCTAGACCAGGGATGGACAAATGGTCTCCACTGAAGATCTATTTCAACCGTGAAAGCAGCCACAGATCATTATGTACACAAAGGAGTGAGGTGATGTTCTGATAAAACTTTATTGTATGGATGTTGACACTTGAGTTTCACATAATTATGTCATGCGAAGTATTCTTTTGATTTTTTTCCCACCATTTAAAAATGTAAAAGCTGTTCTTAGCTTGACAGCTGCACAAAAAGAGGTAGCAGGCCAGATGTGGCCCACGAGTTGTCCTTTAGGGACCCCTAGTCTAATATAGCAAAAAGGGCCCACTTCCTGTTTCCAATGGGCGTCTCTTAATAGCTGTTGAGATGTGCTTGGCTCAACAGCTGGATCACCCACTCACTCCATTTGCCCACACACTCCACCCACACCTCCCCCCCCCCTCCCGTGGATCTATCTAACCTGGTCACTGTTCTGGATACCAGGGTGAGAGATGGGCGGTCTCCAAGCTGCCATGTTAATCGCAGATACACTCTCAGGACTGCTGCTTCTCAGTGAGGGTAAGATGGTAGCCTCTTTGCGACTTGAGCCTGATTTACCTTTCTGCCCTACCACCACCTCCTGGAGCGTAGAGGTCAGGGTGGGGGACCATAATTAGGCGGACGCGGAGAGAGAGACTGGGTAGCAAGGAGAGATAACAGTGGTCAAGAAAGCAATGTCTGGGGTGCCTGGGTGGCTCAGTCAGTTAAGCGTCTGCCTTTGGCTCAGGTCATGATCCCAGGGTCCTGGGATGGAGCCCCGCATTGGGCTCCCTGCTCGGCGGGGAGTCTGCTTCTCCCTTTCCCTCTGCCCCTCCCCCTGCTTGTCCTCTCTCTGCCTCTCTCTCTCAAATGAATAAATAAAATCTTTTAAAAAATCAAATTAAAAAGAGAAAGCAATTTCTAATGTTAGCAATGCTTCCTCCCGAAGCTTTATGTTTTGGGGTGCATTTTAATTGCACACGTTTTGGTTCATTTAGTCCTTACAAACTCATAAGGTGTAATTCACCTCCCTGAGGAACCCAGAGTCCAGAGGGCTTTGGGGATTTGCTCCCTATCACATGCTGCCTTTGCGGCAGAGCCAAGATTCAGTTTATTTGGCCATTTATTCCATAAACCAGTTTCGAGAGTAGTAAATGTCACACAACATGCTGGGCAGGAGGAATATAAAGATGAATAAGACTCGGCTCTTGTCCTCGGGGTATGTCCATCCAGGTTCTCAAGGCTGCCTGATCACTGAATGCCCTGGCGCTCTCCACAAGGACAATATTCACAGCTAGCTTTTGTGGACCACATCCAGATCTGCCGTCAGGGCAAACACCCTATGGGACAAATGCCATCGGCCAGCCACCTTCCCTCACCTCTGTCTGCTCACACCAACGCCAGGTCTAGAAAAGATGGACTCGGGGCCTCAGAGGATGCTCCTTATGTCCAGAGGAAGCTCCCTCATGGGGGTCAATTCTAGAATAGGATTTAGTGGCAGGGCCTGTTTGGGGAGCCCCAGGGAATCACCAGACCTGCCTGTGCACATTTGAATCTCTCATCCCAGAGGCAGAATTGCTGGGGAAGTTTTCTCATGCTGAGTTGGAATTTAGCACCACTTGGTAGTACAGTGAGAAAAGCTTCCGATTTTTAGCAAGAAGCCCCAGGTGATGTGACCGTGAGCAGGTCACCTAACCTCTCTGAATTTCCATTTCTACATCTGAGGGGACAAGAAGAGTCATGACCTGTTTACCCCACTGGGTGCAAACATTCCAAAGAATGGGGGAGGTGTGGAAGCACCATGGCTTTCGTGCATCCTCCCCACTCTAGGTCTGCCTTTGGCCTTGACCAGTCATGGCGTGGTGTGCGATGTCCTAGGTCAAGTATAGTCAAGATTTTGTCCCTGGATGTCAGCATCACCTTTTGAGAACCAATGTGTTCCAAAGCACTGGATGCCCGGACATCGGGCAAGATGAAGACAAGCCTCAGTTTTCTTCCTGCAGCCAGGCAGTGTTTGAAGTCAACTCCCTGCAGAGGAATACAAATGAAAGGAAATTCACGTTACGTTACTTAAAATGTCATAGCACTCAGGTTCCCAACGTATTCTGTTGACAAGTGATATTTGGGGGACACTTTCTGACCTTTAGGTTAGCTGGCACCGTGTCCTTTTTTGTTTTCCAGGTGAATTCTTGCCGTCTTCCCTGCACAATTTGTTTGCGCCATCAGGTAATTTCCATCCGGTGGGATCTACCTTTGGGGCTCTGTGGGTCCGCCCCTCTTCCTACCCCAGACCCAGCGGAGGCTCCGCCCACCACCTCCTTGCTCATCCTGGGGGAGGACACGCCCCTCTACCTGGCCACTCAACAGCGAGCCCAAGCTAGGCCGGTTTTCTTTTGAGTTAGGGGGCTTCTGTCTCATTTCCATGGTTTCTTACCTCAGATGTGGTTTTTATATCAATACTTAAATTTTAATAGTTGATTGCTTCAAATGGGCTATAGAATTATTTATTTGCTCTGATCAGGAATCTGTCTTATGATCTAAGATATTAAATCCCTCCTTGTTTTGGGATTTACAGCCTGGCTGCTCTAGGTTCACAAAGCTTTTCCATTAAAGGTCTCTCTCCTCTGCCAATATTTATTGCTAGAGTCACTGTTTGCCCAGAAGCTACTGTCTGCTGCATCTTCTGGGAAATGAAATTGATGTCTCCTGGCACTGATGGGGGTGACATCATTGAGACACTGTTTACATCACCGGGTAGCATAAGCCCTGAGCCGGTCTCTAATGGATGGCAAAGGTGGGGAGTGGGGAGGAACAGAGAGGGTTTACATAAACAAACATGCCTACTTCTTTCCCTTCCTTCCCTGCACTATCCGACCCACCGCTTGTATTGACTGTATCATTGCATAGTTATGGAATCTATTAAAATTGACACCTCCTCTTAAAATTAGTATTGAGGGGCTGAGGTCAACAGTGATGGAGGGGTGGGCAGGAGAGGGATGCCCAGCTTTTGTGTGGAGGGTGTCTGTTCAAAGGGCAATAACCGTGCCTTCCCTTTGTAGCAAGTCACCCCTACATAAACCATGTGACACATGCTTTTCTGTCCTCTGTTGACAGGTGAGCTAACTAAGGGATGGAGACTCAGAGTCTTGCTAGTCCAAACTGGGATTCCAACCTAGCTTTTCTGACCCGGGGCTCTGTTTCACAATCCCCTGGCTTGGTGGCATGTGCTTGGTGAGGGATGAGTGCGGCTCTCAGCCCCAGCTCCTCTCCCACCTGCCCTACATGAAAGCACCCCCCACCCCAGGCTCCAAAGCAAGCTGGCCCGGAAGAGAGACAGAAAATACCTGAGCAGCAGTTCGCTGGATGCACGTAGCCTCCGCCCCCTCTCTTCTCTCTTTCCCTAGTTAGCCAGCCTTCTTCTACCACACTGTGTCTATTTTCTCCAGTGAGTGCTCATGCCTTTACCACTTGCTCACCCCCATTCACTCGTCAACCTACTGCACCCATCTCTCCTCCCCCTCCCTGCTTCACCTGAGTTGACCAGTGAGCTCCCAGCTCAGTGGACGGCTTTGGGCCCAGGGCTGACTTCATGGGCACGGGAGGAAGACAGTGGCACAGAGACTCGCACTCAGAAGGGCCCCATGCTTGGTTTAGTGCTTCACTGTTGCTGTCTTGAAATTCTTCATATGTTTTTTGAACAGGGGATTCTGGATTCCCATTTTGCACTGGGCCCCGCAAATTATGCAGCTGATCCCGCTGGGTCTTTTAGAAATTAACTTCTGGGGGCGCCTGGGTGGCTCAGTTGGTTGGGCGACTGCCTTCGGCTCAGGTCATGATCTCAGGGTCCTGGGATCGAGTCCCGCATCGGGTTCCCTGCTCAGTGCAGAGCCTGCTTCTCCCTCTCCCTCTGCCACTCCCTCTGCTTGTGCTCTTCTGTCTATCTCTCTGTCAAATAAATAAATAAAATCTTTAAAAAAAAAAAAAAGAAATTAACTTCTGTATCAGACATCATCCGTGGTCTACCCAACATGCATTCTCCCTCTGTTCCTCCAAAAGATTCCCATTCTTTTCAGCCACTGTTGGAGACCCCTTGATTTCAGGGAGAGGCCATTCCTTGGCTACAGAGAATGAATGTGATTGACTAAGGAAGTGATGGAATCTTAAGACTCTGGGTCCAGAATTGGTCTAAAGGTAACCACATGACCTAGAGAGGAAAGGGAGGAAAATAAAAGCTTGCTCTGGGAAAGCTTTAGTGTTCCTGAGGAAAATGGACAGACTCGGCTGGCTTGCTTTACTCTTTTGCCCGTCCTCCCTCCTTCTGGTGTGGATGTGGACACAATCGCTGGAGGTGCAGCAGCCATCTTGTGACAGGAGAAGGAAATCCAACATGCTGCCAGTGGCAGAGAGAAAGGAAAGCACTGGGCCGTTGTTGAGGCACTGCCCCTCTGAACTTCCTACCATGCACCAAACAGATAGCAACAATAGCATCAAAACCCTTATCTTTTAAGTCATTGCTGTGATGTTTTTCTTTTTTACTTTAAATTGTTTCATAACTGCTATGACTTCTGCTCAGCATAATTCAACACAATGTTGCCTATTCCCTCCACTTAACACATTCTTCCCTTGGCAGTGATGGCACCATGTCCCTGGATTTTCTAATCACTTCTCATATTCCTCTCTTAGCTCAGTCCTTGATGGTGGGGTCTGGCAGGACTTGGTGGTTCATTCTTTTATTCATTGTGAGGTATTTCCTTGGTACTGCTATGTGTTGGGCTTTATACGAAGCTTGGCAGGTGCAGCCCTGCAGATAGACGATGAGGCCCCTGCTCTCGAGCAGCTTACACTGTGGTCCTGGGCACTGTCTCAGCCACTGTCCACACATCTTCTGGGCAACCTCACTCACTTCCTCAGTGTCCCCACATGCTGCTGTCTCATTCCCATGCGGGACTTCACATTGACTTATCTAATTAAGTAACAGTCCACAGATGCTCCTAGAAAAGAGAGAAGAGGCTAAACTGCCCCTTGGTGAGTTAGTCATGAAATTATCTCTACTCCATACTCCCAGCCAAGATATGAAGAGAAGACACAAAAGAGTTGGCTACCTTTTCTCCTACCTAAGCTCCAACTTTATTTTTCTGCAACACTCACACATGTTAGGAGGTTCTAAAGTAGCAAATTTCCCTAACAGAATCCTGCCATATGTGGGGATTCTCTCTTTTCTTCTTTTTTTAAATTTCTTTTTCTCTTTTTAAATTTTTAATTGAAGTACGGTTGAGTGGGGGATTTTCTTTTATTTCCTAGAAAAGGTATTGAAAGTTCCCATCAGTTTTAACAGTTCCTGCACTGTTACTCCTGCCTGACCCTCACTCATGCACAAACTGGGCCAGAAAACAGTGAGAGAGGAAGTAGGAAGTGAAAATGTGTCAAATTCCCCCCAAACCACTCGTGAAGGAAGATTATTGATAATGGCATTTTTTCAAAGTGTGCTTTATTTGGGAAAAGTTTAAAATGATAAAGCTCCAAATAAAATGGTAACCCATTAATTCCATTTATGAGAATGTTAGGGGATTTGGCCCAATGCTATAATTCAAATGACTGAAAATAATTGATTCATAGATATGCTTATTGCTTGTTTATGATAACAAAAAAAAAGGGAACAACTTTTCTTACTGTTATCCATGTAACTCACTACATTCTTACATTAGAGGAGAAACACTACATGATCATCTCAAGAGATGCTGAAAAAGCACTTGCTTTCAAATTCAATGACCATTCCTAATAAATATTTTTAGTAAGCTGGGAATAAAAGGAAAACCCTTAATTTAGAAAGGGTATATTAAAAAAACAAAAAACAAAAGCAACCCATAACACACATTATACTGAACAAGGAAACAGAACAAGCCCTCCCATCAGAGTTTGGTAAAACACTCTACAGACACATCAGAGCTGGGACTGTAGTTAGGTGAGTGATGAACTTGACTGAGGTGCAAACATTCAGAGCATGCCAAAACACCCAGTAATCAAGTACACTAAATAATATCTTAATGCAACATGATAAAAAATTAAAATTAATGTAAAAACTTCTTGAAGAATAAAATATCTAAAATTTATAAATTTTAAATATAGACAGGATCAGTATTTTTCCTAATTTTTTTTCTTTTTGCCTCCAGCTCTAATATGGCTCTTTAGTGTTCATTAAAATGTTCTTTACCTTGATCACTGAACTTTCTGGTACCCCCCCAAATTTTATGCCCAAGACAAGTGCCTCACCTCATCCTGGGGCTTACTGAGATGGAAATGAACTTCCCTGTGGCCCCCTGTGGTGGTTTGTGTAGGACAATAACCCACAAGTAGAGCTTGGTTGTCTCTGTCCTAGCCTCTCCCTTCTCCTGCCCACCTCTCACCCCTCAATCTAACATCTGAAGACGGCCTAGAGCACAGGTTTCTTTTCTTTTCTTTTCTATTATGTTATGTTAATCACCATACATTACATCATTAGTTTTAGATGTAGTGTTCCATGATTCATTGTTTGCGTATAATACCCAGTGCTCCATGCAGTACATGCCCTCCTTAATACCCATCACCAGGCTAACCCATCCTCCCACCCCCTCCCTTCTAAAACCCTCAGTTTGTTTCTCAGAGTCCATAGTCTCTCATGGTTCGTCTCCCCCTCCGATTCCCCTCCTTTCATTCTTCCCCTCCTGCTATCTTCTTCTTCTTCTTCTTCTTTTTTTTTTTTTTTTGACGTATAATGTATTATTTGTTTCAGAGGGATAGATCTGAGAGCACAGGTTTATATGCAACGAATATTTAATGGGCACCTTCCATGTGTCAGCACTAGAAGTCCAATGATCTATACATTCCCAGCCTTGTGGAGCTTACAGTTGGCTGATGAAGAACAATGATTCAACAAGCAATAACAGTAAAGTATAGTAGGGGCCATGGTGTGGCAGGGGTACCAGGGGGTTAGGAGAGCCCAGTTTGCCAAGTCAGAGGACATGAGGTCCAATCCCTAACCTGAAGCTGGATTAGGAGCTGAGGAGCGGGAGGGGCTGAGGAGAAGGATGAGGCCCTGAGAGATAATGGTTTATGAAAAAGCTTATTTGAGAATGCGACAGAATTACAGTAAGGCTAGAGCTCCCAAGAGAGGAGTGTGGTGTAGAGAGAGTAAAACTAGAGAGGGAGACAGAGGGCAGGTTGTGAAGGACTTTGTAAACCACATGGAA